ACTTTTCTGCTCAAATGAAAGGGGTACAACAAATGTATTGCTCTGAAAAACATTGTTGCTTGTTTCAGAATCACAGGAACTTCAACCAGAAAACTACAAATGGTGTTTAGGACTGTGGGACCCAGTTCACTTTTTGATCTGGGATTCATTCCCAAAACGTTCTGCAAAGACTTTGCATTGAATTGATAATGAGTACTGAAAAAAGGGACAAAAATGCAAAATGTCCTCACTATCGCTTTGTTACAAAAAGTGTCAAATCTGCTTGGTTCAAACTATAGAGGATTTTTAAAAACAACCATTACTACAAGTTTTAATAACAGAAGCTTCCTATATAAACCTTTAATGAGTTCTAAGTTCTATAAAATCCCAGTTCAACCCTAAATGTGACAACCAGGCAATATATACGATTAAACAATTTTATAAGAATTTTCATTGGTTAGAAGGGGAACTGATTTTGAAGTCATACAAGTGTCATAAAAGCAAATGTAAAAACAACTTACCAAAATTGCTTTTGTGTATATCATCTCTTGAATGTAATTGATACATTGACTGATTTTGCAGCAAAATGCCATTTTTAATTTCATCATTGAGTGGCCACTGTCCCTTAAAAACAAAGCCTAACTTGATAAAATGGGGAACAGGGAAAAAACAAAAAAAATTTAATATCTGTATTAAAAATAATTATTTTCTAATGCAACTGTAAAATGCATCAATGAGTTAATTACTCTACTGTTTGCAAAATCACTTCCAGTCAGAAAGATAGACTTAACAGCAAGCAGCCTCTCTACTACTAAATATTCCTTTATTCAATGAATTTAACAAATCCTAGAAAGAATATTTTAAAACTTCATGACAAAATATGAAGAGAAATAATAATTTTCCCTACTAAATGTACTACAAGTGTACCTGTAGGTCAATTTCAAGCTAAAGGAGACACCAAAGTTATCCAAAGTTGTTGCAAATTAGCCTTAAACAGTTGAATCCTAATGGAGATTGCATATGTTTAAAAGCCCAGCTTGTCAAATTATTCCTCTAAAAGATCTCAAGGCCTATTATTGACCTATTCACCTGTATCTAAAACAATATTTTCTGCTTTATAAGAAAATCTATCAAGCAAATACCAATCATTTGCTAGTTTTCCTTCTTCTCAAAAGACAAGTTTGCTTAAACAGGTATACTTTCCTTATGTATGGGGCAGTGTAGTGTGGGGGCAATTGTTGATATTGTGGGGTTACCTTAGCAGATCCCTAATAAAGCATAGAAAAGCATTTCTTACATTTGCTATAAGGCGCACCAACACTAACATATTTAGCCAAAAATCTCTTAATGTAGTGTTAAACATAAAATTCTACGGAGGTCGGGAAGTCAAATTGTCCAGTGTGCAACCAAATATCTAATATCTTTTGGTATGGCACTGCCGGGGGGGGGGGGGGGACAGTGGTTTGGTTGGCAGACTTATTTTGTTAGTTTTTTTATTGAATTGAACCTTGATGTCGCCTGGCCTAGCTATGACCTACCTCGGCGTGTGGCGTGAGGTTAACATCGAAGGCACCCCGGTCAATCACTATGCAAATGTGTATGGATGTTTTCAATGATTTATGTGTTTATGGATAACTTTGGGTGTAATTTGATAAAAAGGTGTAGAAAACCTCAAGTGCAGGTAAAAAAGGTGTAGATAACTCAATTGGAAGGTTTTTACCATAGAAATACTATTTCTATGGTTTTTACTCGGGTAAACATTTGCATACTATTGGGCCTAGCCTCTGGAGATAGCAGCACTTGGTAGAGGTGTTCATGTTGCCTTCCAGACGGCAATAAACAACGGTCTCAGCATGCATTAAACAGCATAAAAAGGCAGGTCTTAGAAATAACTAATAATTATAACAATGACAAAACAATGTCTATACCAGTTCGTTTTCATGTCAGGTTGATTTCATATCATGTCATTGTTTTCATGTCAGCTACCATCTTCCCATCTCCCATCTTTCTTGAAACCCACTTGGCCAAGTACTTGATGTCAGAGCCACGAAATTTGTATCGAATTTCTTTTACCGTAAATCTGAGGTTGCTTTTGGCGTTTTATTGAATTACCACAAAAATTCATAAATTTTGGTAATAATTAATTAAATATTCATAAAGAAGTTCCTACTAAAATATACGGGGTCTTTTATTAATGTATTCGTAATTTCTATTATAACTTATAAGCCCTCCTCGTATAAGCCCCCCTCTAATTACCCCAAACAAACAAAATTAAAAATAAATAAGCCATTACGGTAAACCGCAAATCCAATAAATAAGGATTTACGGTATTTGTTTAGCTATCCCCAAGACGACAATGTTAAAAAAATAATTCTGTTCAATTTCGACATTAAAAAGACAGACGCAAATTTTTTGTATCCGAAGATTTCAACAATAAATTATGAGCCACAGGTTAGGGGCTCTTGGTACCTGTAAATAAGTTTGTTTGGCTGTACTCGCTGTGGTGGAGGTAAAGTTTCGAGACTTTGAAAAACGGGATATACATTTTTGATATCCTGCTTTTTTAGTCTGCGTTGCAGACCATATTCTGTATCGTGGCAGACCAAATTCTGCGACGCAGGCTAACTTTTTTTCTGGTCTGCTGCGCGGAAAGGGTTTGACGTCAACTGGCAATTCTCTGTCGGGGCTTGTTGCCCAGCTGATTCAATCGGTGGCCATCGTTTTTTTTCTTTCGCTCGTAAAGGTAGATGGAGGACGCGATGGACCGTTGAAGTTCAGGTGGAAGTAAAAGGAACGTCTTTGGTGTTTGTCGTCGGTATAAACGAGCAAATCTTGTTCCTGTGTTACGGTATCCTCGCACACTCACACCATTTCTCGCACCATGGCTTTTACCGAAATAATACCCTCATATTTCTGCTTCCGTCTCATTTGACATAACAATTTTGTTCTCGCAAAGTGCATAATTTCTAAATAGACCGACCTCCATGCATTCAGCAAATCAGTTAATGATTACAATGTTTGCGTTAGTGCCTCCTTAAGAAACAAATCAGAAACGATTCTTTTCATAAATGGATGACAATTTTTCTTTAAATTTATCGAGTTCCTATTTCTGTTTCAATTGACTTAGATGAATTGAAAGAATAACTCATTGAGACTGTTTATGTAATCTTAAGTTGAGATTTTTTGCTTTTAAGAAACGGATCTACTTATCCTGAACCTAGTTTCCTATTCAAAAATTGGTGTAACCCACTATGGCATCCACTAAATATCTTTTGGCAAAGGATTGAAATAAAAAATATGACGAGTGCATTCACTTTTTATAAGAAACAAAGATCGATGTACTCCAGTTTCTTAATGTTCTGGAAATTTCAATAGTCATTGTTTCTTAAGAGTTTCTTAAGTATGACGTCATGAATGATGTTATGAAATGTTCGTAACCTTTTTTACCACGTCAAGAGATTCGCTACCGTTCCGATGCTGTATTTAGATGTTGGAAGTATATTTTTATCCCTCGTGTCTTAAGTTCTAGGCCAACAGGGCAATCTTGTTCTTGGTTTTTACAAAATTTCGTTGTTCTCAGTTTTATCACGATTTAATAATTTCTTAATTTTTCTGCTTCGAGTACTGAAGTTTCTTAATTTGTTCTCACTGTCCAATACTCGTTTCTTATAATAAATAAAGTATGTGTTGATATACGATAGGTATTTAAAAGAGCCACCTTTTTCAGAAAAAGCAAAAGTAGCCAAGATGAGCCTTCAATTACGTGCCCTTGAAGTGCTTCTGAAAATCACATTTTTTAATCATAGTTTGAATAACGAATAAGAAAATAAAATCGGAGAAGGTATGGAATTTGAAGTTGAATCATGTAAGAAATACAGAAATAGCAGGACTTATAAAAATTTATACAGATAAAGGGAAAAGGGAATTAAAGGCTGAACAAACTTTTGCTAAATTCAAAGTCAAACATCTACAAAATGCGTTATGGTATGGTATGGTACATTTGAAGGCATTAATTTATGATGAATCGTAGCTCTGCAACAAGTCATATGATTTTTGGGTAATCTTAGTTTAACCTGATTTAATGTTCGTTCGTGCATAGTTGCGAATCATAGGCTACATCAAGAAATTTATCCTTGAAGTGAATTGTGACAAATATTGATTTTGATAAATTCAGTGACAATTTTTCAGCAAGCAAATGAAATGCTTTTATTGGCCCATTAAAGAGATATACAGAAGGTACTAAGAAGATATACAGAGAAACAAGCTTTTGAACGACTTGACGCGAACAATATCCGATTGTTAAATAAAAGAGGCTGCGAATATCTGCAGAAAATATTGGAGTCAGCCACCAAAGTCCCGAAATCTTTTTTCAAAAAATTCATTTTAATCCTTAATAGGACCCCAGACATACACCACCAAACAGCAGCAGTGTTATAGCGACAAAATCGCAGAAGATTTTGTAAACAGTGAAGATCAGGTCATGGGAAATTACAATGATCAACTTGAGGCAGAAGAAGATGAATTGCACTCATTTGCTTTGGGATTTCAAGCAAAGAAGACAGTGCTAACGAGGAATGGATTCCATAGCACTTCCTATTCAACAAAATTTACTTCTATCCTGTTGTCCTCTACTATTTGAACATTTTTAGATTCACTCATCTATAATTTCCAATTACCCGTGAAGAATTATGACGTCATAAAATGATGATAACGTCATGCAAAAACGATTAGACGTAAGAAAAATACTATTTCAAAAGCACTGAATATGTGCTATGCAAATGTGGAACTTGGTTGACAAAAATTAATGCGGTTCAAAGTGAATTTTCACACCCGTCAAAAGACCCACTCAATGCACGTGTTTTCTTTGGCATCGAGGGGCTAAAGAGGGGCTCAATAGAAAGAGGGTCTATTTTAACTTTCTGCTCTATAAGGGGGCTACATAGCGAGGGGGGCTTAGAAGAGTATTTACGGTATTTATTGTTGGATTTTTGCCAGCAATACAGCCTCATTTCCGCGACAAATTTGAGAGGCAATATCATAAAGGTACCTGTCATTGCATAACGTGGTTAAAATTATTTGGATAGCCTAGGTTGAAATACGACTACGGAAGAGAGATAATATATGATAAATGTGCAAAAAACTACTGAAGTTTTTTGCTAGACAGCCTAGCTTTGCGTAACACAACATATATATTGAATATTTGAACTATTTGACCTTCGTCCAGGAGTTATTCGGACATATTTTTACTTTAGGCCCATTATTGAAAAATGGGTAGTAGCACATCGGTGCAAGCTACGGCAGCAGGGAATAAACCTCAGTTAGAAGAAGCGTCAGTTGAAAAGAGAAATGCAACCGATTTTCCTCCTTCAGGGTGTCCAATGCACCAAAAACACGAAGAAGCAGAAAACACGAGAGTATCTGCAGAAAATACTTGTCCAATAGACCATAATAAAAGAGCAGAGAATGATAATGCACACCGCTCCTTTTCAATAAGCGACTGTCCAGTCCATGCTGGAAAGACAGAAGGAAAAGATGGCAAAGAAAATGGGGATATAAACCTTGCAAATATGGTAACAGTTGCTTTTTAGATAACAACCAATACATGAGCTCTGTAACACTTTTCCTTCAACTTTTGTTTTAGAGCACAGCAGCCTATCCTGATGAGACGAGTAGCTATGTAGATTTTATTTGCCAAATAAGAGACAAAAATGCTTACTCTGACAACTCTAAAAAAGCTCAAAAGATATGCCTAACTTTCTAATGATGAGTTGTTCATATATGTGAATATTGCATCCTTAAAACTGAAATGAATTTAACTTTTGTTAGATAGTGCTTGCTGCCCAAAGGCATAGTTTACTCACTTTGGTGCACAAAGAAAAACGATTCAAAGTTAAAACTTCACATGTATCTCTGAAACATGGTTGTGATTTTAGCATTTTGACCCATCTACAATATAAAGCAAACTTTGTTTGTCTTAATAGATGCCACCACCTAACCAGCAACCTTCTCCTGGCCAACCTTTTCTACTTCCAACTAATCGCCAGAAATCAACAATACCAAGAGGTGGAACAGACAACACTTGGGAGTATCCATCACAACAGATGTTTTGGAATGCTATGTTGAGGAAAGGCTGGAGATGGGAGCAAGATGATTTGAAGCCAGATGATATGGCACATATAATAAGAATTCATAATGCAAATAATGAACTAGCCTGGCAAGAAATACTGAAGTGGGAAGCTTTCCATTCCCAGTAAGTTATTTGAATCAAAAAAAGGGGTGGGAGAGGTTAACAGAATGTTTGTCAGTGGATGTATAAACATTTAAATCAGTAATGTTTACCTTTTGGCAGATACAATATAATTGGATTATAAATGCTAGACTTTAAGGTACCTTTGAATTATGGAATTAAGTATGTTAAATCACACATTAACTATCTAGAGTAGGAAGACATTTAGTAAAAACCAAGTTATAAACAATGTCTTGGCCTTTACATCAAAGTAAATAGATCCAATCTCTACTAAATCCAACCAAAAGTGTTAGGACAGCAGAGCCAAAGTATACAGATCCACCAGTCCCTGGTGATGCAAGGTCTACCTGTATTCTTCTGTATATGATAAAGCTCAAAACAGTCACCTGTAAACAGGGAAAGAGCTAGCTCATACATTCTTCTACACTCTCCTTGCAAGAGTACACATATTGTTATCAGGCTGTAGAAGTTTGTTTAGAATTTTCCACAATCTTATTGTCCACCGGGTTAACAAAGTTGCCCATTTAAGCAATTATCACAAGGTGCCTGTTAAAATATGGTTATTGGATAACTGAGGGGACTCTTAAAAATTGAAGAACTCAAGTAAAAGAATACACAAAATATCTTTTGCATGTAACTGTCTTCTCGTTATATTTAAGGGCTTTATTTATTTGGCTTTATTGGAAAGTAAAGCCTGCTTCCTTGATATAAAGATGGTAACTTTACCAATGGTAACTTCAACTACTGCTATGCCAATACTGTTACTGTAGTTTTCCCCATCTATTTTAACAATGAAATTTACTTTTCCACCCAGTGAATGTGATCAACCAAAGCTGCTGAAATTTGGAGGCAAGGCAAAAGAGTTCTCTCCTCGAGCCAGGATAAGAAGTTGGCTAGGGTATGTTTGGCTGATTTTTCACTTAATAGATTTTGAAAGTATCAATTATTGCTTTAAAAATCCTATTTGCTTAAGAAGTCAGTTAATATAATAGGAGGACAACCAATGAACATCATTACAAATGTCATGGCAGAAAAACATGTTTAGCAATTCTAGAATGAATTGGCATTATCAGTACTATTTCATTTAAAAAAGACTTTCTCTTGAGTCTTGTCCAAATAGCTGGACTTTTCTTTGACTGTTTAACTGGAAAATGTCGAGGCATGTTCTGTTTTTTTCAGTGTTTTCAGCATGAGGTGGCTCAAAATATTGAACTTTTCTCTGCACGTTTCCTCAAAATTCTAACCACAAGCACTTTAATAGTGTCAGATCTCAGATCAATTGAAGGACTTGGGCTTGGCAGTCTTGGTACATTTTTTTTGGCCTAAAACAAACCAGGGCATTTATAGCAAGTTTTGCTGAGAAGAAATGGTCCCTTTTATCTTCTTCGGAGTAGACTGATTCCAAAGATCAAAATTTTCAATATAATTTATCTCATAGCTCTGGTTTCTATCTTTGTAACAAGTATCTCATTTCTCCTCTGTAAATCCATTTTGACATATATTTGGTTTCAAAATACTTAAGCGTATTGATAACAAAGCCTTGAATTTAGAATTAAATTTCAGGAAAACTACAAAAAATTAAAAGAATATCTCATTTCTCCTCTGTAATTCCTTTTGACATATATTTGGTTTCAAAACCCTTTAGCCTATTGATAACAAGAGCTTGAATTTAGAATTAAATTTCAGGAAAACTACAAAAAATTAAAAGAATATCTCATTTCTCCTCTGTAATTCCTTTTGACATATATTTGGTTTCAAAACCCTTTAGCCTATTGATAACAAGAGCTTGAATTTAGAATTAAATTTCAGGAAAACTACAAAAAATTAAAAGAATATCTCATTTCTCCTCTGTAATTCCTTTTGACATATATTTGGTTTCAAAACCCTTTAGCCTATTGATAACAAGAGCTTGAATTTAGAATTAAATTTCAGGAAAACTACAAAAAATTAAAAGAATATCTCATTTCTGTCTGTAATTATTTTGACATTATTTGGTTTCAATAAAAGAAAGCCTATTGATAACAAGAGCTTCATTTAGAATTAAATTTCAGGAAAACTACAAAAATTAAAAGCATTTCTCCTCTGTAATTCCTTTTGACATATATTTGGTTTCAAAACCCTTTAGCCTATTGATAACAAGAGCTTGAATTTAGAATTAAATTTCAGGAAAACTACAAAAAATTAAAAGAATATCTCATTTCTCCTCTGTAATTCCTTTTGACATATATTTGGTTTCAAAACCCTTTAGCCTATTGATAACAAGAGCTTGAATTTAGAATTAAATTTCAGGAAAACTACAAAAAATTAAAAGAATATCTCATTTCTCCTCTGTAAACAATGACACTGGTTGGCAAAAAGTTCACTCAATTAATTTCTTGAAGCTTATTGATACTGCACTGGGTGTTTTGTAAAATGAATTAGCTAAAAACACATTTTTTTAGGTTTTTCTAGTGTTGCATGTATTTGAAAAATCCAGGCATATAAAGGACATAATTTTATAATATTATGAAAAACACAGGAAAAAGATTTACAAGCTGTGATTATCTATAAGAGTGTGCATGTGGAGAATTTAGATATTGTTGGTGAGACATTGATATGACTATAAAAATTCTGCTTTTTTCAAAGGTGGTCTTTCTTAGGTATGATCTTCCTAGCTAAGCATGACTTCCTAGGTCGGTATGGTCTTCCTTTTTAGTAAAATATGATCTTCTCTTTAGATATGCTCTTCCATTTTTAGGTAAGATCTTCCTTTTTTGGTATGATCTTCCACTTTTAGGTATGACCTTCCATTTTTAGGTATGATCTTCCATTTGATCGACATGACTGGATTATTGACCGTTGTGGCAAGCAAGTTCGCTATATCATCGATTACTATGATGTTGGTGACAACGAAGGGTATCAGAAAGGCGAATTTGTGCACATGGACGTGCGCCCTGCCTTTGATTCATTCGGAGCTGTGCTTGATCGATCAAGGGTTGCTATGTTACGCTGGGCAGCTATGCTCAGTACTTTAGGTAGCTCAAAAGACAACAAAGAGACAATCGATTCAAGTGAAGGGAAGACACCCACTTCGTGAATTTTGTCTGTTTTCCAATAAAATGTTCAATTCTTGCTTGCTTTATGTTTGCTGATTCACTTTTACGCAGACGAGTTCTTCATATGTCGAACTGAAGCATCATATTTCACAGAGTGCTTGATCTAGCAAAGTATATCCCATTTTAGCCTGATTGCTTGTCACATGTTGAATTGTATGATAGAAAACGTTCCTGGTTTTCTGACATTCATTATAAACCTACGTATGATTTTTATGTGTAGTAACTAGTGTTTAAAGGATATTTTCAGTTAGATTGTTATGCATGCCGCACGGAAGATTCTTCGATTCTATCCATTGAGTCAGTTTAAAGTGTACCCCTTCTACATCCTACCGTGAACAGATCAAACCACTGTTAGAATAAGTAACAAAAATTGTTCAAATTGATTGATCTGAATGAAATATAACTCCCCTTTACACCGTAATATTTCCAGACCTCCTCATTTACAATTAAGTTTCTTGTAGAAAGTTATTCGTTCTATCATGTGAACTTCTGTGTGACAATTTTCGTACTTGAAATACAATTTTAAAGTTGACAGTTAGCTATTTAAATTCGTGTGAATACAGATTCAATTTTGATGAAGCTTTGATCATAATTCTCCGTTTTAATCTCTTCCAAAGTTCTTGGGATAAAGGTTGAGTTATGAGAAAGAGCGCGTGAATTTGGCAGAGAGACTTGGAAAGGGTCAACACTGGAAGTGTGTCTGGTATTACTTACATGTCTCAGGGGGCCTGGAATCATATCTCTGATCTCTTGAGAGCAATGGCCGTGGTAAAATCTATAAAAATTGAGAGTCGTGAAAGAGGCTGGAAAGACTTTGTGTGAGGTTGCAGCTATTGATGAAGAAAATGGAATTCGAAGATTGGATTTTGTCAAGGAGGCACGACGATGATATAGGAGCACAACGCCAAATACGAGAGCAGTATTCAATGAAAAGACGGATTTTAGACGATTGTTAAGAGTTGTGACGGTGAGAAGAATCCACGTGCTCTAGAGAGGAACCCAAATTTTTGAGAGGAATTTTTAGCAATAAAGAGAATGTGAGATTTCCAATTAAGGTTGGATGATACAGAAAGGCCTGGTTGTGAAAAACAAATAGAAATGTCTAAAGCAGTATCATTCATAGAGAGGGTAGGAAAGTCGGGGTTGCTTTTGCGTGAAATGACAAGTTCAATGGTTCATAAACGAAACACAAATAAAAGGGCACCAGCATTCTATTTATTACCAAAAATCCATAAAATGCATACCAGGAAGGTCTATACTAACAGGGTGTGGCTCCAAAGGCCAAACAGAAAACTCACATCTTATATCGGTTACTATCTCAGGTCTATAGTGGAGACAAGCACATCCTACATTAAGAACACAACGCACTTTTTGCAAACTATATTCAACGCGGTCGAAAAGATTTCAAAACAATTTTGGCTAGTTACATTAGGTGATGTAAAATCACTATACACAAATTTCTCCTAAAACGAAGGCGTTGAAGCATTCATACAGGTCATGTCACACCACCACAGGAAAACAACCCATTTACGAAGAAAGTTCATTCTCAAGGACTACTTTACCCTCAACGGTAAATTTTACCAACAAACAGAAGGGACTGCAAAGGGCAGCCCTTTCAAACCAAACTACGCTAACATATTTATGACTACAATTGAAAAGAACATCTTAGAAAACACAACAGAAGGAAAAAAGCCAATAATCTGGAAGAGGTCTAATAGGCCTTTTTTACTGTTGTTGAATATAGAAGTTGAAAATTTAGGATATATACCATTTTTTTCTCAGTTTCCTGACAATATGACCTTATCGCTTTATGTCTGTTTTTTTTCATAAAACAATCCATTTTTTCGAGTGTTCTAGCGACAGCTGTTGCGATATGGTATTGTCATGATTACAAGATCTTTATTCAGGACACTGTGTGGTTGCCGCTGAACAAATGTTTTTACAAATTCCACGAAGGAATGTAAATCAGGGGGTTTAGAATGGCACGATAAACGAACTTGTTAGTCGACCTTGCATTTGTTCAAAGGTCCGTCGGCTTTCAAAATTTTGCATCATATGGAAAAGCGCAGTTAAAATCGAAGACGTTATTTTTAGATAGCACAATATATTGTGTAGTAGAGTGAGAATAAAATTCTAGTTTATATGATAAACCTATGAGAATTTCAGCGCCATGAGATGTTATATATAATTCAGCAAGTCTTCGCCCTAATGCGCATGTGCATATGAGATACTTTCTCATTGGTTCCGAAATGGCACTCTTGACTTATGAGCACGCATTGTCATACGGCTGTGTCACCTTTTGTGACAAATGTTCTAAAAACGTGGTGGCTGTATATTTTTCAGGAACAAAGCCTGTTAGTGTACCAGTAAACATTGGAACAGCCTATTTGGCAATCTATCAAAGGTTTAATGCCATATTTGACTGTAAACTCAAGAAATTCCATTATGAAATTCGGAGCGGATTGAAATTTTGAATCGTTTGTATCTAGCGATTCTCCCTTTGCCAGGTGCCGATGAAAAAGCTCTCATTGACCAGATGGCATTATTTGTAATTTCACGGTGATCGATGCAATGTTTTGAATAAATTTACATATTATGATGTAACAGTACTTAGAGTTAGTTGTAGAGTACGAGGCCATGGAGTAGAACGTATAATATGTGAGCATATGATTAGGCCCTTTTTAACAACATAGCAACCGATAAATATTTTCCTTATGCACACAGACTTAAACTAAATCCTTAAACCCAAATTCAATAGCCACTAAATCACATTTATACAAAATTACTAAATTTTCATTTGATATCAACTTTTCTTAACCCAGCTTCCATTTATACAAACTGTATTTGGACTGAGATCTTCACCATAGAACTTTTTCAGGAATTTCTTTGGTTTATTCGGACATTTGGTTTCAAATGACATGAAATAGCATTTGCGTAAAGGGAAAACCTCGTTCATGTGAAACGTCCGGCCTCCTTCTGACGGGTCCCATAGATCATTTCCTTTCTGGGTGTAATCATAAATGTCCAAATGATGATTTTCACTAATAAGTCTTCCAAGAGGCTCGACGAAGGAACAGTGATCTGAATATCTCGGGACTATCTGCAAAATAAACAGAAATATAATCATAAAATCATTCTTCACACAGAAATACTCCATCTAGACAGCCTTTTGCAGACACGACTGTTTGAAGCAGTTTGAAGGGCATTGCATTGCATTCTAAATTATTTCATGTGGCCTATTGAGATACTATTGGGGGGGGGGGATGTTAGAAAATTTCAGGTAAAATCCGCTCGGTGGAAGGAACGCTTTAGGTATTTTAGAGACCTTCATGTCATAAACTCAATAAAGGATCAAGCAAAGGAAGTTGCTCCGTTGGTTAAATATGATATTCCTTGATATGAATGAAGGTAAACAAACTAATGACATTTGAAGGTTTGAAGATTTCTTGTTGGCACTAAATCGAAAAATCCAGGTCCTCTTTAGGTAAAATTGTGTCTTGTGTCCATTTCCCCTAAAGTTTCTCGATAGAAGCGTCAACTGCAATTCACAAAGAGCTCCAGATTTTTTACATTCAAAAGGCATGCTAAGATGGAAAGAGGGATCTAAATTGACAACCAGTGCTGCTTGTTACCTAGCTTCAGAAGTAACTGACAACATGGTATTTCTCAAGACCACGGCGAAATTGTACCAGTTGCTTTTATCTGCTGTTCAATTTTTTTGCAAAAAAAATTATTTTCAATAGGATTAGGAGGATTGCTTTAGTAAAATGTGCTTGAAAGAGTACATTTTCCAGGGAACTAGAAGCATCAAAATTCGAAAATTTCCTGCTCCTTCGGCGGCAACCATGGTGCCGCCTCGGGTAGTAACTATATCCTTTGCCCGTTCCCATATAGAGATTTGACAAAACTATTAGGAAAATTCCGTTATTATCAAATTAAAATGAAAGTTGTGAGTTATATACAGAGTTAGATTGACAAAATGCATTGCAGAGGTTTGTGACAGCAACTAAAGAATTTCAGGCAAAATTTTTTTAATCAGGTGAATTTGTAGTCCACCTACCCCCCCCCCTCCCCCCAACAAGGCCTTCCTAGCGACGGCCCTGCTTAGGCCTAACATCTTTTCGAAGCAAATTTGCCTTACTAGAATCGCAACGAACAAATGCACGAGAAGTAATCTTCTCGCTCCGTGTCGCTATCGTTTGGCTACGTTCACACTTCTCCGTATTCCTTACCCCTAGCGAGGAGAAAATTTTTGCAACCACTCCCTTGATTTTAGCTTAGAATAGATTTATGAATATTTCTAGGAGGCATTTTCTTGCAGTTTTTTTAAATGTTTCACTATTCTCGGCATACTTTTGATATGTCTGAGTAATTCCATTCTTAAAGCTTGAATTAATTACTTTATAAGGCCCCCATAGAGCCTTTAAGCTCTGGGGAAATTTGCCCCTTTGCCCCCTTTCTGCGGCCCTGTTTATTTGATGCCTCTCAGATTCCTAATATATCATTGAGCTGGGCGACATTTTTTGATAGAACCTTCAATCGCAAGAAGAATTTTAAAAAACACAAGCCTTCCAATTTGTTAAGTTTTTCCCATCTAGAGGTGCTTTGACGCTGAATTTTTCAAGTTTTGTTAGCAATGGTGCCTGAACACCCCCTTTTAGGCACAATATTTAGCAATTGCACTGCTAACACCCTCATGATTTAAGAACAAATTAAGAACAACCCAACCTCATAGTTCTAATAAGGCTGCGTACACACTGAGAGCAAAATAGCGTAGCGAAGCGAATGAGCGAATTAGCGTTCAGATAATTTGTTCTGAAAAAAATACGCCAGTTCACGCAAGGGCCCGTTCACACTACTCCGTTTCAAACTAATCCGTTTTCGCCTTGCGTTCACACTACTCTGCTATCGAAGTCGTTTGAAAACGCTAATGAAAACGGGTACTCTCGAATACGCTCCGTTTTCAGTGTGAACACCAAAAAAGGAGACATTTGAATACGCTAACACAAATACGAAATTGAGTTTTTCGCGATTTGCTTTTATTTAATTTCATTCATAATGACGCCAATTTGTTGAGGATTTGTGAACGCCTGTTTTCAAAAATGAGGCCACCACCAGCGTTTTTGTTGGAGCAGTGTGAACACTTACCGTATTCAAATCGTATTCATTCGAAAACGGATAAGTGTGAACGGACAGCGTTTTCATTAACGAAAACGGAGCCAAACGAATACGGAGAAGTGTGAACGTAGCCCAACCAGTGGCGGCGCCAGCTGCTGCAGAGTGGGAGGGTAATGGGTGTTACCCGTGAGACCACGCCCTATTGGCCTCGTTTCAGTGCTTTGTATCAGGTCAATTTTCCTTAGGAGATATGACCTACCCATACCTAGTGCTTTTTAATCCGTTTTTAGACGAAATATGTAGACCATGTTTCGACAAAAGTGGGGAGGTAATTACCCCCCCCCCCATACCACCCCTTGGCGCCGCCACTGAGCCCAACGATAGCGACACGGAGCGAGAAGATTACTTCTCGTGCATTTGTTCGCTGCGAACGGAAAGGAATAACAGCAATGGACGTTGATTATACCGTTGCCATACAACCAATTAGTAATTGGGGATAGTCTGGTGATGCTGGTCTTCAACCAGACGAGTATGTCGAGAGACTGTGTAATCATTAAGATACCCCCTGACTTTTACAACCAATGTTTTAATCCTGATTGACATGTTTATAAAAGATCAATATATGCTTGTATATTTGCTTGTATATGCTTGTTATTAAGTGTTTTATAAACTTTGGCCGCTAAAATTCTATCGAAGTTGAGTTGTGAGCCTAGAGATCCTACAGTATCGCGGATTTAATATTTTACCACAGAATAGAAATTTCTATTCTGTGATCTTACGGAGGAAATTTAATTATTATTGTGTATATAGTCATTATCGTGTATAAAGTTATAGCTGTTTTGGAGAATCGGCGCCTTGAACCTATACAATTGGATTTATTATATTTTTCGAGCTAGTCCTTGGAAGTTGGTACGGGGCCTACCCGCGTTCCCCACCTCAAGAAGTTATCTTGTGAAAATATACAACACAGTATGAAAGGACATGGCCTCATATTTGGGGAAGAGGGTGGCCCCCAATAATTGCCAACTGTACTTTATGCGGGAAGCAAAACAATGAACATCCCCCCACCAATATAAATTTATTTCCGACTACAATAACGAATCAAACGTAGATGGCTAAGTTATCTGAAATAGCCTCGTCATTTCTAAACTGTGGCACCAAATGATGATATTCACCAGATAAAAGCAAATATTCATGAAAATCAGGTCGTGCCTCTTTTTATTTCGTGAACCAAAAATCTTCATCTTCCGTAAAGAATATTCAAGGAATCAACTTTCAGATAAAATCATTCTTTTTGTTTTAAATCAGCCACTGCGTCATTAAACTTAACCCTGCAAGATGGTTTGATTCGTGATTTTTCGATGAAGTCCACACCAAACCGATCTATCTTTTACAAAAGTAGGTTGTCAGAGCTATTGCCTTCAAAAGTTTCACATCTCCATCTACACCTTCTTTATCTGAGTTAAAAACCCTTAAACTGCATGATTTGTGTTAAAGCTGCTTACATTTGTTTATGAGACTGTTAATATGATTTCTCCCATCTGTTTTCAAAATTTCTTTGATACTTTGACATCTGTTCATGAGTATGATGCACGGCAGGCTACTAAAGGTCATATTTTTATGATATGTAAAAATACTTTGCATTATGGCTTACGATCAATTAGATATGCAGGGGCTAAAGCCTGGAGCAGCATTCCATCAATTATCAGACAATCTGCCTCAGTAATGATTTTTCGTCGTGATCTGAAACTACACTTCTCAACCAAATACAAGTCTTAAATACCTCCATAGACCATAAGGCAGCTTCTCCTGACACTGACCAATCAAAGCACTCAAGATCTCAGATTTGAATAATGATGAGTGTTTAGCATAGGGGGTGCTCTCTCCTCGATTAGTTTATCTATTGAGATAGCTCCTCCTTAAGAAAATTCTACTTCATACAAACTCCCAATTCTGTTATATTAACTTTGTTTAAGTCTATTGTTTATCATTTTCATCTTTTTTTATTTTGTAATTTGTATTAAAATTCTAAGTAAATTGTATTTAAATAACGATCAATGTAAGTTAATTGTACCAGGAAAATTTATTTAAAATTTTATTAAATTGTATTTCGTTTTAAAAGATTTTGTATGTAGTTGGATTTATTAATTTTGAAACTGAAACTGAAACTTTTCGCTCACAGCATGTTGTTCCGTTCGCTTCTGTTCGCTTCTGTTCGCTTCTGTTCGCCCCTGTGTAGTGACCATTGTCATACCGTAAAATGTCTTCTATTGTATAATTGTCATTAACACCTTCGATTGTCTCCGTAACCGCAGTAACGTAATCAACAACACTTTGTAGCGCTACTAGCGTCCCCTCGTTTTATATGTATACGCCCAGTTTTGTGATTAGTTCAGTTCAGTTAGAATCAAGACACGCAATAGTCACATCGTCGCTTCTCTGGCTCCGTGTTCTCTGCACGTAAAATAAGACTCGCTGGGTTTGGAAATGACACGTTAGTCAAGGATGGATTTATTTAGTGCTTACATTGATCGCCGTTCCGATGTACACTAAACCTGTTCGCTTTGCTCCTCTTTTTCGCTACAGTGTGAACGCAGCAACGGTTTTACTGAAAGTCAAAAAGTCAGCCTGAATATTATTTTAACGGTTCTTTTAAAGAAGGTTAACTCCTTATTTGACAGTTTCAAAGTGCCGACAGTTCCTTTTCCTTTCTTATATTAGGCATCCGACGGGTGTCAATAGGAACTTTTGGGAGGCAGCTGCCCCCATGACACCCCAATATAAACAGTTTGTTCTTTTTCATTTCATACTCTGTTTACAAAAATAATAAAAAAGACGGTCAAAAAACTTCGTCTCTGAAAAAGTGGGGGGGGGGGGGGGAGCGGTGCCTGGAAACCCATTTTTGCCTAAATTCCCATCTATTTTCCTGAAAAAATGAAAAAATGGCACCCCGGCTGTGTTCTAAAGACAAATCAGCATATTCACTGTGTATTCATACCTTTCCCCGACATGTATACCGTCGTCTTTTTGAGTACGGCAAGTAAAAGTCTTTGTTCACATAAATTGAAATGCCTTCCTCGTAGCCTGAAAACGACTTTTCCGTTCTATACTTTTTTATCTTTGGAAAGTCACTTCGATTTACAAGAATATCAATATCGGTATCGTGGGGTATTAGGTCGCCGTTTCTGAAAGCACCCAGCAACGTTCCACAAGTCAATAAAAAATCTATCTTCTCTTTAGCGGCCAGCTTTATCCATGCTTTGAACAATTTCTCTAACACTGGCGCTGCCTTATTGCTGCCGCAATTTCCATCCCCATACATTGTAAAATCCCCAATGCTCTTTGGGTAAACATCGTCCTCATTTCTATCAACATTCAGCAATGCATCCGGTTTTGGAAATTCTTGATTCGGTAACTTGTGTGCTTTAACAACCTTTTCAGTATGTTTAGTTGTAATTAAAGTTCTGTTGGGCACTATATCAGTTGCAAAATCCTCTTGAACAAGGAAATACGTTTCTGAGTCTTCAAATGTGTTGTCTGACTGCTGCCTGTATTTCTTCGCACGAACAGCAATGGTTAACTTCGTAAAGATTCTGGCAGGCGAAAGTTTGACAATTAAAAGAACCAAAGCTACAGAAACGAAAACAAGAGCTTTGATAAGACTCCTCTTACTCAACATGCTTAGGAAGCAAAGATCATAGCTCCTGACTGAAACAACATGTATTTTATGGTAAGATGACCACGTGTAGCAGGTTAAAGATACCAGCAGCGTGATCACGGCGGACGGGGGATGCTAGCGGCAAGACTGTCACTCACACTGAGCCTGCAGCGTATACACTATTGTTTATAAGAAAGTTTTTTTCAGCCCAGCCCTCATACTTTCTTAGCTATTTCCTATTTTCAGCACTAAAACTTTTTAACACTTTCTTAACGTAAAATTGGAAAGTTTTACGTTACTAAGCATGCGCAGTGATGGAGAAGATGAAATACTATAAATATGCTATATTTCTCAAAAACCCTCAACGTCATACTGTATTCGTCGTTTCCTGTTCAGCACATTACTGTAGTATAGTTGAAATATTTCACTCTTACACCACAATTTCCTTTGAAACTTTAAATATCTACATTTTTCAACTTTCTTAGGTTTCAAAGATCCAGCCTTTAACTTTCTTAACTTTTTGAAGAACCGAGCACAAGTTTCTTATAAAATACCTGGCACAGGCTCGCAGGGTCTATTTTATGGAAATTTTAAAGACCACACTTTAAGAAAAGAAAGCTGTATATGAAGCATGGAATTTCAAGATATCGACCGTTGCCGTAGAAAGCGTTTTTCTTTATTCGTGTAAACAAAAATATTCAACATAACACGATTACAAATATGTTTCTATTATAACCTATTCTTTATGGACTCCGACAGTAACAGTAGTTAAAGGTTAACATTGCTAAAAGCACTATTATTCATACTCATTTTAATATTGAAGGACACGCTGAGCCAAGAAATTTGAAAAATTTAGAAAATTCTAAATGCGCACGATGAAAATCTTGCATATTGAAAAAATCATTATTTTGACTGACTGACTGAAATAAAAGACTTATTTTGACTTGAGATTTTTTTGCTTGCAGCAGATCGAAATTGTAGTGCATTTCACGCTGTTTGGCCGCCATTGTTGTTATTGTCGCTAGATTCAGGGGTGTTTTACAAGCACTGATTGGCTTTTACACCATTTGAGAGCAAACAGCTGATTGGCTGTAACATTTTTCGCTCTTGTTGGACCAGATTAATCTAGGCCAAGGAACTTGCGGTACGATTTAAGGATGTTTTGTACTGTTCTGTTATGGTAAAAAGTTTCAAAACTCTATCAACAGAAAAACATGTTTATAACAAAAATATAGCTAAAATGAAAAAACCCATTCAACAATTTTGAATTTCCAAGACCACATTTTTGATTTCCAAGACCACAAAATGTGGGAAAACCACACTTAAATAGGCCCTGCAGGCTCGATGCGAGACTTTGTTTTGTTTATTCAATAAATTTGTGAGAAAAGGACAATAGGAGCTGTGTCACTGTTTTGTAAACAAACCAATTAGTACACAGTGTTAAAATCGGGAGTTTTACGCACAGAAACAAGCGTTTTAAGATAAATTCATCCGAAGTATATTCTTACAGATCACAGCATTAAAGCGTGTAATAAAAGCGGAAGTAAACATCGTTGTTTCTAACACACGCATAGTCAATTTTTCCATTGACTATGGTACACGAGACGTTGTGTGCGAGGGGCAAATCCCGAACGCCTTTGGTGGAAATCCCATCGTTTTATCTCAAAATCTCTGGAAACCCTTTTGATTTCGTGGAAAACTTATTCACTTTTTTAAGAGTGAATTGCCCCTCAGTTGTGTGTTTATAGCCTTCAATTAACTCCATCAATTGGTTTCCCTGAGCCCCTGAGTGCAATAACCGAACAGGCTGTTTCAGACATGAATCATGATCTTGACATTATCAAAGGCTGGGCACATAATTAGACTCCCTTCACATGAACAATTTCAGGCCGGTCTGAAACTCAGGTCGTCTCGAAATTTGATGGTGCGTGCTAATTTTGCTCCCGCTCACATGGATGTTTTCAAACCGGCTTGAAAAAGCCACAGGGTTTTGCACATGCGCATTTACGGCGAATAATTTGCGCCCAGTAATTTGATGAAAAGGTTTATTTTAAATCAGTTGTTGAAATCTATTTTGGTTGTTTTAGTCTCGGCTTTGCAACTTCATTTTACTTTGCTTCTTCAACTTATGTTTCAACTTCTTCAACATGTACCGTTTCTTTATTCCGAGAGTTTTCATGACGTCCAACAGAAGCCAAATAGATCTTGGCAAAATAAGCACAGGCTCTATCTTGCACTATTCAATGGTGAAATGGCGCCAAATTTATCAAACATGTATCCCAGAACTCTAATTTGCATCCCAGAATGCAATTTATTTTTCTCCGCGAGTTTCATCTCGCCCCGACTTGAAAAACGTTTCTGCTCACATGCGGATTTCAAGTCGACCTGAAATTTCAGACCGACCTGAACAACCGAAACAAATTCAGGTCGACCTGAGTTTCATTTCGCCCTCTCTCATGTGAGCACCTCAAGGGTTCAGACCGGCCTGAAATTTCTCATGTGAGGGGGGTCTTTTTCGATAAAGAAAATTTCAGCCGATCATTCACCAGTTCAATTTGTCGGAGAACCTTCCACTGCGCAGCATTTTCCCACACATTTTCTTTAGAAATTCTGTAGATATATAAGGTATTGTTTAAGTGTCTTTAATTACAGTTCTGTTTCTTTAGTTTTCACAGTCAACACAATCGTTGCTGAGGTGATGTGTAAACATGTTTAACTAATTGCAATATGATTAATCCCACTTATATTATTTTTATTTCTGATTGGTTGCTTACTTAATCCAAAATTGTTAATCAGTTGGTTTGTTGTTGATCGTAGTTGGTTGTTGAGTTGATGTAGGAAAGAATGCACGTTGATATCAATTGGTAATATCTTACGGTTTATCCAGCCTGTTTATTGAGGTTTACTCTCATTTCGTGATAAAGAATCAAAAAATGCATGGGGTGGGATTCACCTCACTATTCAATGACATCCCAGTCATCAAAATTTATGAACATAGACATCTTGACATCATGCTTGATTCTAAATTGTCTTTTGCCACTCACATTCAGTCAATTGTAATAAAATGTAAACGCGGAATAGGAATAATAATTTTTTTCAAAGTATTTGCCCCGCAATACTTCAACTGAATTGTATAAATTGTATGTGCGGCCACACTTGGATTACGGTGATGTCATTTACTACATCTCACCCAAAAAATGCGACTTCAGTCAAGATATCTCACTGAATAATCATATGGAAATACTTGAATCAGTTCAATATTCTGCTGCATTAGCAGTGACTGGAGCATGAAAAGGAACATCTCATGAAAAACTCTACGACGAACTTGTATTGGTTGGGAATCCCTAAGCCTACGACGTTGGAGCAGACGCCTCATTCTTTTTTACAAGATTGTCAACGATATTACCCCTGACTACACAAGATACCCTATTCCACATTTACCACAAGCTATGTATTCTTTTCGTAATGAAGATGTAGTTGGGCAGATAAGGGCAAGAACGACAAGATTCAAGAACAGCTTTTATCCCGATTGTCTCTCTTAATGGAACACACTTGACTCAGAGATTAGGCTATCACCCTCACTAAATATTCTTAAAACAAAGTTATCGAAACTTATCCGACCCACTCCTAAACTAGTATACAGGGGCGGACTGGCCGGTCGGGCTACCGGGCCGCGGGCGACCCGGTGGGCCCTCCCAAAATTATTACAATTTTTTCTTAATTTTGCTATTAAATGAAAACTCATATTGTTTGGTAGGGGCCCTCTTCTGTGGATAGAGAATGAATAAAAAGATCTCTTTGCGGTTTTCAAGTACTGAAAAAGCATTTTCCAAAATTTGGGACCCCATGTAAGCAAGGAGAATACTGGGCCCAGGGCTCACTGTCTCTAATGCAATAATACGTTATTTAACTGGAAGTTCCAAAACTGATAAATTTTCTCTTTGGGCCCTACATCCATACTTTGGTCCAGTATAAAACATGAATGATTTGCCAAAGATCTTAGGTATAAAACATCGGTGCTTACGCCAAATTTTGGTGTGTTTCGTCGGCAAAATTTCGGCATAATTCCATTGGCGTGGTCTAACTGTGCTAGTTTAAATTCGAAAATATTCTGACGTGGCGAAAACCATGCGAGATTTGCTCTGACGAACTTTACAAAATAACAGGCCTGTAGACACTGGGGGCAGGAGGGCAATGCCCCCTCTCAATGATTTGCAAAAATTGTGTTTTAATATCTATTAAGCGCAGCTTGATCTGACAGTATTTCGTAAGGCAGGTATAGAAAAATTTATATTTTTTTATCCATGCCCTTCCAATCCAGTTTAGCAGTCTACAGGCCGGCAAAAATGAATAAGTTTTAAATGTCTCCCATTGTAAACTAAACAATAAAAAGACACGAGATACAGCTGGAAAACTGAGATGCATTTCAAGCTTTATGCTCATAGAAATGTAGACATGAATTGACATTTAAACATAGAAAGAAAGACTCGTTACTCTTGAAAGTTTCTTACTGAGAACATTTATTTACTGTCTTCAATACAGGACTTTTTATAATTGCATTTCCAATTTGTTCCAAGCTATGTGTGTCGGAAATGCTGGTCTTGTCGCTTGAGATTAAGATCTTGGCTTTTTGGTATTTGTTAACTATTAGGGGATGGGGAATTATTGTAAATGAAAGCTTACATGTATTGTCTAGGATCTTCCTTTCGACAAACTTGATGTGCCAAGTATTCTAGATGCATTTCTGGCCATCCCTTTAATGTCATATTTCGAAAATTTTTCTTGAATTCGGCCAGAATTTCTAACCATGGTGCTGGCCTTTATTTAAGCCCTGAACAATCTAAACATTTCACCCCCTCCCCTACTTCAGTAACGTTTTGCCTGCCCTGCCTATGTTACTGATGTTACCATCAGGTTGCTGCGCAAACAATCAATAACCTGGCTGTTTAACCATTGATCGAAAAAACATTAACCCCTATTATGCTTTGACTGAAAAATTATATATCAAGATTTAGATGTTTCTTGAATAACTTAGATATTTCAGTAAGTTCTACCCTGGGTACCAGAGCCTCAGTGATCGAAAAATGTGACCCCTCTAAATAC